CTTCCTTCCTTCCTTCCTTCCTTCCTTCCTTCCTTCCTTCCTTCCTTCCTTCCTTCCTTCCTCCCTTCCTCCCTTCCTCCCTTCTTCCCTGTTTCTATTCTCCTTGGCCTTCTTGATTACAGCTCTGTGTCTTTCATTAAGTCTCACCCATGAGATGAGACCATGGCAGTTTTTGGGGCAATGATGTATTATGTGTCCACACTCCAGGACAATTAGTAACAACTCAATCAACCAGATTTTCCCAAGTCTTCCCAGGAGACTCCCAGAGTTAGGAAAGTCGATGCTGCCACCTAGTGGATGTCGTTAGCAATTGCAGTGCTGGAAAGGCGCCAGTTTAAGACTCTTCCCTCAGGACCATCACTGAAACAGCATCTGTCCCCACCTCCTCCATCACAAGTAAATTAATGGTGAGATCAAGAGCCCTGTCCCTCTGGAAAGCATTCATTGGTCCTCAGGGACTGAGGGCTGCCCTGCATCTGTGACCTTCCACCTCCCATCCCTAGAGCGGGAGTCACAACTGCCATCTTCTTGTCTGTTCGTGGATGCCACACAGCTGAGGGTCTCTAGGGAGGAGGGCGTGTGTGTGCGTGTGCGTGTGCGTGTGTGTGCGTGTGCGTGTGTGTGCGTGTGTGTGCGTGTGTGTGTGTGCGTGTGCGTGTGTATGTGTGTGTGCGTGTGCGTGTGTATGTGTGTGCATGTGCGTGTGCGTGTGTGTGTGCGTGTGTGTGCGTGTGCGTGTGTATGTGTATGTGTGTGCATGTGTGTGCGTGTGCGTGTGTATGTGTGTGTGCGTGTGCGTGTGTATGTGTGTGCATGTGCGTGTGCGTGTGTGTGTGTGCGTGTGTGCGTGTGTGTGTGCGTGTGTGTGTGTGTGCGTGTGCGTGTGTGTGCGTGTGTGTGCGTGTGCGTGTGCGTGTGCGTGTGTATGTGTGTGCATGTGCGTGTGCGCGTGTGCGTGTGCGTGCGTGTGTGTGCGTGTGTGTGTGCGTGTGTGTGTGTGCGTGTGCGTGTGTATGTGTGTGTGTGCGCGTGTGCGTGTGTATGTGTGTGCGTGTGCGTGTGCGCGTGTGCGTGTGCGTGTGTGTGTGTGTGTGTGTGTGTGCATGTTCATTCCTAACTAGCTTCCCAGAGGAAATCCTCTGTCACAATTACAAACAGGACAATCTGGCAAAGTTCCACATCAGCCACATAAACTGTCAGACATGTCACAACGCATTTGTTCTCTAACAGTGAGACTCACTGGGCGCCGGTGGCTCACGCCTGTCATCCTAGCTACTCAGGAGGCTGAGATCTGAGGATTGCGGTTCTAGGCCAGCCTGGGCAGGAACGTCCATGGGACTCTATCTCCAGTGAACTTCCCAAAAGTTGAAAGAGGAGCTGTGGCTCAAGTGGTAGAGCATTAGCCTTAAGCAAAGAAGCTTGGGGACAGCCCCCGGACCAGCACAAAATGAAAACAAAAACAGTGAAACACGTTCAGAGGGAGAAAGACCAACGGACCCCACCCTTCTTAGTAACCCAGGTGATGGCGCTCGTCCATCAAGCTGGCCTCCAGACTGGGCCTGGGCTGACCAGGGGCCCTGCGCCTTCTCGCTGTCGTGAGACTGGAAGAACCCTGGGGCTTCTCCCTGCTCTGTCACCCAGAAAGAACTAGAAGTCCCATCCAGACCGCGGCTCCTCCATTCGTGACCCGGGCTCTGCAGTCCCAGTGTTTGCTCGGCGTAGCGACTCCTGACATTGCTCCGCACAAAGCGAGCGTGGGCCTCCACCCGGGCTTTGGGGCACTGAGACCCACCTAGGAGCTGAGGACCAAGGAAACTGGAGACCAGAAGGAAGCTTCTGGGACAGTCCTGCTTCCTCCTCCAAGCCCAGGGAAGATTCCAGAACAGGATAATACTGACCATTTCTCAGGAAAAGAAACAGATAGCTGCCAATTACCAAAACACTCTGATTGACTTCAGATGACTCTGAGCACAAGAAGAACTCATCTCGGGGCTGGGAAGGTGGCTTAGCGGTAGAGCGCTTATGCCTAGTCTGCATGAAGCCCTGGGTTCGATTCCTCAGTACCACATACATAGAAAAAGCTGGAAGTGGTGCTGTGGCTCAAGTGGTAGGGTGCTAGCCTTGAGCAAAATAAGCTCAGGGACAGCACCCAGGCCCTGGTAGGAGGAGGAGGAGGAAGAAAAACCTTCCATCCACAGCCCCTGGTACCCGCAGACATGCCCCCCCATCTCAAGGCTCCAGAGGGAGCCCCAACCCACTCACCTCTGAGGCACCGGCGAACTTGACTACCGGCTCTGTCCAGCTGGTGATCTTACGTCTAAAGTTGTTGCATTTAGGAACAACCATGCAGCCGACGTTCCCCAACTCCGGGTAGAAAACTTCAAGGCCCCTGAGGAGAGGAGCGAGGGAGGGGGGTCACCCGATGCGGGGTTTTTGCTGAGCCTGGGGCGCAGGAAGGCTTCCATCTGAACAAAGAGTCGAACTGAAACCTGGCCCTCACTGGTCGTGTGACCCAAGAGTGGTTGGCCTCCCCCGTGCCTCAGTCTCCTTAGCTGTAAACTGGGGACACAGGGCCAGGCTCGCAGGGGTAGCGTGAGGAGTGAGGCCCCGGCCAGTATTTAGAATGGAGGCTGGCGTTCTGTTAAGGGGGCCAGCCATCACCAGTGTTTACTTCCTAAGAATAGAGCGACGTCTCTCAGCCTCACCGGGGATGGGTTCCAACACCCCCGTGGATACAGATTCTCAGACGCTCCCGTCTCGCATATAAAGCGCCATGGCGATTACACAGAACATATGCAGTCCTCCTGGACACTTTATTTTTGGAGTGACCAGGGCCTGATCACCGAGCCACACCGCACCTCGCCCCGGCTGAGTTCGGTCATCTTAGGACACTTAATACAAGGCAAATGCTGCGAGTATCGTTGTTATACTATGGAAGGGATTAGGCCAAAAGGCAATCTGCACATGTTCAGTACACATGCGTTCCCCCCCCCCCGGCCATTTTCTGTCTGTGTTCGGTTGAGTTCATGGACGCAGGGGGGTGGACGCCGTGGGCTGATGGTGCGTCATCAGGCCAGCTTGGGCCGTGTCTTTAAAGGCATGGTGATAGGAGGAAGCCCAAGCCAGCTTCCTGGTGGCGAGTCCCGCTTTGCTCCCCGTCCTGCTCTCTGCCTCTGCCCTTCCCACAGCTCCAGAGGGTCCAGCCAAGGGGGCGGGAACCGCACGGGCAGCACGCGACCGATCCAGGATGCTTGGTACCCCAGCTTGCTGGACACCTGGGCTCAGTGATAGGGTGTTCACCAGTTCGCGTGGGCACGCTTCCTGTTGGATCAGCACTTTTGAAGACATCTTCGCACACCTGTTCTCACTCTGCTTAATGGGATTTTAAGGATCGTGCGGCTGGGTTAGGCCTTAGTTCCCAGTCACCGTAGGCAGATATGACAGAGGCAGACAGAGGTCCTTCCGTGGGTAGACAGAGAGTCAGCACCCAAGCACAGGCTGGGGGAAACTGAGGCTCTGGGAGGAGGGGTGGAGGGGGACAGAGGGGCTTCCCTACCTCCACAGCAGTCCCCCCTCCACCTCCCCCCTCTGTCTTTCTAGCTCAGTAGGACTACTGCAAACGTTGAAACAGTTAACTAAGCCAGGCAGGGTGGATACACCTGTAATACTATGGACTCAGGAGGCAGGAAGAGGAGGATTGCGAGTTTGAAGCCAGTCTGAGTAAAGTCAGTGAGACCCTGTCTCAAAACTTAAACACACAAACAAACAAAAGGCCCGAGGATGCGGCTTGAGCAATAGGGCAGCTGCCTAGGGAGACCAAAGCCTGGCTTCCATCCCCAGCACCAGCCGCGCGCGGCCACACATGTGCGCACACTGAACAACTGACATCAGCAAATCACTGTCTGGTAAGGGGGGCCCCAAAGGGCACAGGGATGGGGTGTGTGGCCCGGCCCCCTGCCTGCATCGTGTCTGTGGGGCACAGCCAGCCAAGCATGGAGGGACCGCCCCGGCCTGTCCGGCAGCCTCATCAAAGGCACAGTTCATTAGATCTGGAGATGGCCCAGAGCTGCTCACCAGCAAGTCAGAGGATCGAGTTGACCTAGGAGGAGGTCAGGAGAAGCCTGGGATGGCCCACATGGAAGTTACATCGAGTGTGTAAACCCATGAAAACTGGGGTTCGAGTCCAGGGGAACCTGCCTGCTCAGGAGCCCTGGCTGTACCCCGTTTCCCCAGACAGGACACTTTGTCAACTCCATCCTGAGATCTGAGGGGCTCTCCTGCTCCCCTTGATAGATTTGGGGGAGCCCTAGAGAATAGAGCAAGAAGAGCAGGACCCTGTGTTGCATAAAGGACCGGGAGGGGTGTGTGCAAGGAATGGAAACTTTGGGGCGATCCGCACAGATCAGGCATGTGCAAGACGGCTATTATCAGCCTCATCTCTCGGATGAGTCAACTGAGGCCCAGAGGCAAGTGAATGATTAGCACGGGGTCTCCCCGCAGGTGAGCTGAGAAGGGAGAAGACTGGCCTTCCTTCCCTCCCCTAGCAGGAGGAGGGGAGGTTTCTCTGTGCATTCCCACACATGCTTGCAATGTATCCTAATTCCCCTCACTCCATTATCCTCTCCCATCCCGCCCCCCTCCTTAAAACGACCCTAACACTTTCCATGGTCCGAGTTTCACACGTGCAAATAAACTAGGGAAGACTGGCTTTTCTAACCCAGGGTGTTTGAGCAAAGGAGAGGCTGAGCCACAGACTCCTGGGACAGAAGCTGGTTTGGTTCCAAGGAGACAAGGCTACCTGGCCAAACGTGCCTGGCCCATGACAGGGGAGAAACTCTCTCTCACAGGAAGGTTCTGATTCCAACATCTCACTAAAAGCTCAGCTTGGTTGCAAAGATCTCTGGACTGCAGGCCGGGGTGGCCTCTCTCCTGGGTCCCAGCAGGCACCCCCTCCTGCTGTGTTTACCGGTCTCTGGAAAGCAAGACAAAGCCTGCTTCCAAGTCACCCTCTGGGTGCTGCTCCACCGCACGGCAGTGCTTCCTGTCTGACCCATGGTGCCCCCTGCTCCCGGTGGGGGGGGCCCTCCCCAGGCCTCTCCCCCCTGCCCGCCTCACCCCTCCTTACTTGCATAACCCAGTGTCTGCCTCCGCCAGAGCCTCATAGACGCACGGGACATCCTTGTTCCCAGAGACCACCAGCACCAGACCCAGCCACAGGGCTGCCGCCAGCAGCCTCATCGCCCAGCGCGCTGGCACCTGGAACAAAAGCCAGAGTGAAACCTTACCTGTCCTCACCTGGGGGCGGGGGAGGGGAAGGCAGCCAGCTGTGTGGACACCTGCAGCTAAGAACCACCCACCTCCCCGGGCCTGGGCCTGGATGTCGTGAGTGAGATCTTATTTCACAAAGAAAATACAAACAAAAGGGCCGTGGCATAATTGGCCGAGTGCTTGCCTACTAAGTGAGAAGCCCCCCCCCCCCCCCCCCGTTCAAACTCTCATACAGAGAAGAGAGACAGACACAGAGACAGAGTCAGACAGACACAGGGACAGATGAGGACAGGCCCTGTTTGGAGCCACAAATTACATTTCCTTCTCCATCCGCAGTCTCCTGGGAGCATGACCAGTTGCCCCCACTCCTCAGGATCCTCCCCCCCCCCCCCCCCCCGTCCCCAGTGGAACTTGTATAAAACCAGGGCTCGGGTGCTAGGCACACAGTCAGGCCTCCATAACTTCCGGTTCATCCAAGTACTTCACCTGTCACCTGGTCCTAGGCCAGGCCCTGCGAGCGGGGTCCTCGGGCAGCTCCCGGACACCAGTGACAGGCAACTCCCAGGACAGCCCAAGCCAGAGGCCCAGAGCTCCCGCTGACATAGCCGCTCCCAAAGCCAGGACTTTCGCTGGGTGCCAATGGCTCTTAGCCCGGATGTACAACAGCTGCCTGGCGTGGAGGAGTCCAGGGGTGGCGGGGAGGGGGGTCACTTCTGCCAAGCCCACTGGCCACAGCGAGTCCCCCTCACCATGTGACCCCACATGACTCATCATCCGGATGCCAAATGTCCTGCACACCTTCACCCCTTTATACACGGGAGGAGACAGGTACAGAGAGGCTAGCTCACCTGACCGCGGGTAAAGGACAGAGCAGGGATTTGAACTTAGGGAGGGTACACACTCTTAGCCATTCATTTGATTGAACTCAGTGCCTAGTGCTTGCTAGGCAGGTGCTCAACCACTTCAGTCGCTCACTCTTAATCCCTTTCTACTGCCTCCTGCTGTGCTGCTATCCTCCCATTTCTACCCCTGTATTTCCCTCCATCAAGGGAGAAGGCCCAGAATCCTCCATGTGGCCCACAATGCCCTGCACAGTCTGCTTCTTCCTGCCTCGCTAGCCACTTGCTACCTGGTCTCTGGGGGCTCTTCTCACACCAGAGCCTTCAAGGCGAGGCTCTCAAGGCCCACACCCTCTGCTGGCAGCCGAGGGTCATTTCCTCAGGGACTCCCTGTGACTCCCAAGCCCAGACAAATGCCCAGGATCACACACGTGTGCCAGCATGCCCAGCTTTCCATAGTCTATTCTGAAATATGGCTAGAGTAACCAGAAAAACCAATAAAGAAATAGAGGAATTAAACAACACGGAGAACCAAGTGGATGGAGCAGACATGGGCAGATGAGTAGGCGCAGTGGCAGAATGCAGCATGCACGTGTCCTCCTGGTCATTCCCAAATCAGAGCGTATGTTAGGTCACAGAACAACCCTTCATAAACTTCAAAGGCTGAAGCTATAAAAATAAAAAAGATGTGCATCTGTCATCCCAGCTATGCAGAAGCCATAAAACTATTTCAGCCTAGGCTGGTCCAGGCAAGAAAAATAAGACTCTATCTGGGGAAAAAAAACTAAAGCAAAAAAAGACTGGCTCAAATGATAGAGCACTTTGCCTAGCAAGCTCTGAGTATCTCCAAAGGGGGTGGGGAGGGAGGGAGAGAGGAAGTAGTTGTTCCTAAATAAAACAGAGAAAAGACAAACAATAGGGAAAAATCAACAAAACCAAGAGGTGGCTCTTTGAAAAACATCCACGAAACAGACCAACTTTAGAACACTCAAATTCCTAAAAATCAGAAATGAAAGCTGGGGCCTGACAACACAATTTTCAGAAATGAAGAACTTAAATAAATGCCATTTTACGGAGATGAAAAGGTTTGTAGAAGATTGGTATGATCAATGTAACAAAGTCATTGGTTATTTAACAAACTGGATGACCTAGATAACATAGACCAATTCCCAGAAGCATAACACCCACTGAAAACTAAATTATGAAGGAATTGAATGAAATAGAAACAGGCCTGTGTCTAGTAAGGAGATTGAAGCAGTAATCAAAACCCTTCCAACAATGAACTGAGCACCCACCTGGAGAGCATGAGCATTCAGAACAAGGAAGGGAGGGAGGGAAGGAGAGCACAAGGGAAAGAGGGAAGGAGGGAGAGAGGGAGGGAGGGAGAGAGGGAGAGAGGGAGGGAGGGAGGGAAGAAGGCAGGGAGGAAGAAAGGGAGGGAGGGAGGGAAAGAGGAAGGAAGGGAAGGAGGGAGAGAGGGAGAGAGGGAGGAAGGGAGGAAGGAAAGGAAGGAAGAAGGAAAAAAGGAAGACAGGGCTAGAAGGAAGGGAAAGACCCTAAGAAATACAATGATTTCTGTCTACTGCTGAAATAATCTTAGAAAAGATCCTAATAATTCAAAAAGAGAGAGAGAAAAGCTGTGTTAGAGCTAATAAGCAAATTCAACAAAGTTGAATACAAAATCAACATTCAAAAATCAAATGCATTTTGGGTCTCTAACAATAAAGAAACTCAATAGGAAATTAGTGAAACAACTCTATTTACAATAGCACCAAAAATAACACACCAGGGATAAACTGAACCAAGGAAGTAAAAGACTTGCACACTGCAAGCTACAAAATGTTGCTGAAAGAAATTAAAGGGATAAATGTAAAGATTAACCAGGTGCACGGCTTAGGAGACCATTTTATTAGAGATGACAAATTATCCACAGAGGTTCATAGATGCAAGCTCTATCAAATTCCCAATGGTGTTTGTTACAAAGACAGAAAAGTCTATCCTAAAATCTGCATGTAATCTCAAGGATTTCAAGTTGCCAAACAGTCATGAAAAGAACATCATTGGAGGTTGGTTGGGCATGTAGCTCAGTGGCACAGTAACCTGCCTAGCATGAGCCAAGTCCTGGGTCCTATCCTTAGCACTGAAGAAAAAGAACATAGTTGGAAGACTAGCATTTTTTTTATTTCAAAATTTCCAACAGAGCTCGAGTCTTCGATGTGATACTAACAAAGACAAAGAGGCCCTTGGAATAGAACAGAAAACCCATACATAAACTTTCATATGTCATGTTCAAAAGATTTTCAGTAATGTTAGTAGGTGCAGAGAACACTGGGTGAGGGAAGGACAGACATTTCAACGCAGGATACTGGTACAAATGGATAGCCACATGCAGAAGAACTCCCCAAACACCATACTCCAAATGCACCAAGGATCTAACTGTTAAGGGCTAAAATTATACGACTCCTAGAAGAAAACACAGGGGAAACATTCGAGGCATTGGGCCGGGGAATGATTTATATATGACACCCAAAGCACAGGCAATGAAAGCAAACACAGATAAATTGGACTTCACCAAAATTAAACCTTGTTCTTTGGTCAAGTACAGATCCCACCTCGTGCTCCTCACACCTCAAAAAATGAGAGGAAATAGAGATTCTTGTTCCTCTCTCATGGAAGAGAAAATTAGGGCACATACACACACACACACACACACACACAGAAAAGGCTTGATGAGTCTGTCAGAAGTAAGGCCTGGCTGGGCCCCAGTGACTCACACCTGTAATCCAAGCTACTCGAGAGACTGAGATCTGATTGCAGTTCGAAGCCAGCCAGGGCAAGAAAGCCCGTAAGACTCTTATCTTCAATAAACCACCAGAAAACTACAAGTGGAACTGATGGTTCAAAGTGGTAGCCCACTAGCACTGGGCAAAAGAACTCAGGGATAGTGCCTAGGCCCAGAGTTCAAGCCCCACGACTGACAAAAACAAACAAAGGCCTGCTAAGGCCAGCAATGCTCAATACAGCCCAGAACCTGAGCAGGGAGAAACACACTTGAGTCTTGAGGGCAGAAATGTTTGCTTCCAGAGACATGCACCCAGACATGCCATGATGACGTCCTCAAACTATTAGTGTGGCGATAGAATGGGCACCTCACACTAGTTGATGCCAGCTCTCGGGCCAAGGCACCTCTGTCTGTGTCTCTGCCTGTCTGTCTGTCTCTCTCTCTCTCTCCTTACCTCATATCACAGGCAAGAAGAGTTGACACTTACCCAGAGCCGGCAGCTGGCGTCCAGGCTGGGGGCGGCCGGGGCGTTTCCTCCAGGGTGCCCCTCAGTTTGGACCCTTATGGCAGGCAGGGTCTGCTGGTGTTGTGAGTCTGGGAGTGTCAGGGACTATTCCTGAGGGAGCACAGGAGAGGGGACGGCAGTTGGCTGTTGGGAAGGCAGTTGGAGAAAGTTCCAGAAGGGAGGAGTACATACATTGGGTGGGAGAGAATCAGAAAAGAAGCATGGGAGGATTTCCCAGCATTCCTCTTTTGAATTCTGAATTAAAGTGTAGCGCAGCGAAGCCGTTTCTCTTCCTGTCCCTCTTGCTTTTCCAGGGACAATGAATGGGAGGTTGGCAGGCAGAAGGGACATGAAGCGTACCAGGGACCAGTGTCAGGAGATGGGTGTCCAATATTTGAGCTCAAAAGATAGGAACGATGAGCTTGCCCCGAGTTCCCAATCTGGGAGGATTTGGAACCTCCCCTCCCCCAACAGTGTGGCCAGCGTCTACAGAAGAAAAGGAGCAACCACAGGCCAGCTGGCTGAGCTCAAGCCCAGGGCTCTGGGGCGCCAGCCCATGCTGAGGAATCTGCAGAGAAGGCTCCACCCACACGGGCAAGATCCCTGCAGCAGGTGACCAAGTCCGGGACCAGTTCCTGGATTCAGGACCTGCGTCTCCTGCTGTGGTTTAACAAACCACACCTGGACTCCCAACCTTGTGTTCCCTTCAGAGAACTCCTCCGGAGGGAAACAGCCAGGCATCCATGGACATGCACACACTGACTCGGGGTTCTCAACCCAGGCTGCAGGCTCCATCACCCACCCACCGAGGCTCTGGAAATAGCAGCACCTGGCTTCAACCCCCAGCAATGCCAGTCTGACCCTGAGGGCCATGCTCGCTGTCTCTGTGCTTTTCAATGCTTCCCCAGGGACTCTCATGAGCCATCAGGCCTGACAGTGTCACAAACACAGATGAGTGACATGCACTGGCAAGGGGCAAAGGCACAAGGGTGACAGGATGAGCACTTCCTGCTGGGAGCTCACCCCAGAGCAAGGGAGGAGAGCAGCCAGATGCGCCTGCCATGCAGCCGGGCAGTCAGACACAGAGGGCTCCAGGGGAGAGGGGAGGGCGTGTTGATCATGCCTTTTATTCTCCATCTCCCCCTCCTCCTTGGTGGTCCTGGAGTTTGAACCCAGGGCTTTGTACTCACTAGGCCAATGGCTCTACAAAAAGCCAGAAGTGGAGGTGTGGCTCAAGTGGTAGAGTGCCAGCCTAGAGTGGAAAAAAACTAAGGGACAGCACCCCAGGCCCTGAGTTCAAGTCTCATTCCTTGCACACACATATACATCGAAAACAAAACAAAACAAAAAAACCCAGGAAGAATGTTAAATAAACTGGGAACCAAGTTACATAAGATACACGTTCCTTCCAGGGTGTAGCTGGGTGTGGA